CCTCTTACATTTTTTCATTCTCTCTCTCTCTCTCTCTCTCTCTCTCTCTCTCTCTCTCTCTCTCTCTCTCTCTCTCTATACCCGTCTTTCGTCACTCTTTGTGCTGCCGTCAAGTCAAACCACGCCACTTCAGCCGCTCTACTCACGTGCGGCCGTTGCATCATCCAACGCCTGGACTGACATCGAATCCGGCCTGCCAGCAACCAATCATTTTGCATTCAATGCTGCGTCTCAGCGACTAAGTTCGCACAGGAACGAACATGGCCACCATCGAGCCGCGTCTCATCCATCTCTTGAATGATGAGCCAGCGAGGCCAGAGCCTTCCACTGCCGACTTACACCAACTGCCGTCGCTCCCGTCGCTGCAATTGCCCACCCATGCCAGCACTCGTGATGGGCCTCTGCCGCCGCTGCAGCTCGACGGGCTTCGCTCAGACAGTTTCCTCGGCAGCTCTGGACGACATGCTGCGCTGCCGAGCATCAACGGGGGAGGCCATGCCGTGACATCTTCTCCTGCTAGAGACCAGGCCACGACGGCCTCGCCGGACCACAAGAAGGACTCAGACTATTGTAAGGAAGGCAAGTATGCCGGGAGCTCGGGCGTGTTTCCTCTGCGGCTGCTATTGAGCGACGTGCCGCCCATGTCTGTGTCTGCGCCGCCAGCGCCATATCTCTCCTTCTCCAGCATCCTCAACGACGACGGACCAGACTTTCACGATGACGCTCATCTGCCTTCGTTGTCCTCTCTGTACGCTTCTGGCACTGCCGCTGCCTCTGCCTCTACTGCGGCCATCTCTGCCTCTGCAGCAGCCTCCGCTTCGACTTCCACCTCTACCACCTCTACCTCTACCTCTACCTCTATCTCTGCTACTACTTCAGCCTTCGCCTCTACTTCCACACCTCTAACGCCTCCTCCCGCTGCTGTCTCAATCTCCACCACCTCTCCCTCCACCACTTCCAACTCCAAGAAACGACCGGCTATCCACATCAAGGATGACTTCTTACAGCTTCCGCAGCCTGCAAAGAAGCCCAAGGCACACCAGGCACCCTTCATGCCGCCCATCATCAACGGACTCTTTGAGCCGCCACCCAACGTCGCCCTCTTTCCGCCCATATCGTCCAGTGCTTTTGATGACACCGATGCTGGCCAGTCCAAGCTCCTCCATGAGCTCAGCTACAGCCCCCCGGGGCCCCGCATGTCGCCGGAGCCAGACCAGCCTGTTCCCAAACCAAGAACCTCAAGAAAGCGTTCAAGCAAACCCAGACGGAAATGGTCCGAGGAGGAGACGAATCACTTGCTCATGGGCGTTGATCGACATGGCGTAGGCAGATGGACCAATATCTTGGACGACCCGGATTTTTTATTTAATTCCCGGTCAGCGGGTGATCTCAAGGATCGCTTTCGCACCTGCTGCCCGGAGGAAATGAGGGTAATCGACGTTCACAGAACCAAGGCTCGCGCCAAAGGGCCACTGGTAAATAAGACGTCGTTGCCCAGCAAGCCGGAAAAGCCGAATGACGAGTCCCCCGATACCGTCATGGCCGACGCGGGCGACGTGCTGTCGAGCAAGGACCAGCAAGCCAGCTTCAGTCCGTCCGGATTTTCTGATGACCGTCCCGCCAAAAAGACTCGTGCTCATCGCATGAGGGTGTCGGATCTCGTGCGGCTAGGCATTACAGGGCCCTTTAAAAAGGCTCGTCGGCGAGAGAGGACCACCTTTACCACCCGAGACGACCAAGAGATCTTGCAGGGCCTCGAGACATATGGGCCGACGTGGACCAAGATCCAGCGTGACAAACGCTTTCACCTTGGCAACCGGAAACCAACGGATCTTCGGGATCGCGTGCGAAACAAGTATCCCTACATCTACCAACGCATCGAAAAAGGCATCTTCCAGCCCAAGGATGTCAGCACCAACAACATTCTCGAGCCAATGGTCAACATGACCATCAGCCATTCCTTCCAGGCTGCTCCCACCAAGCGCGGAGAGACTCCAAAGGAGCCGCAAAAGTGGTCATTCCTGGTGACTAATTCTTCGGACCAGTCTCAGTCTCGGTCTCAGTAACTGGCCTCCAACTCTGGGAATCCCTGGAGCCGCGAGCGAAGGGTACGATGAGAATCCATCGACCACAGCAACAAAAAACAGCAACCATCGCAGCTCTTGTTCTACTACATATCTAACCTGCATCCGTTTTCTTCCTTTTCTTTCCTTCAACTGGAGCATTTGTTTTAGGCACGGATAATGCCTTTTATTTTTTCTTAAGAGCTTTAATAATTCCATGTCTCACTTAGAGAGTGTTGCCATCTTGAGCTCACATATGGAATAGGGATAGGCAAGGATTATAATACCCGTATTTACGTTACACATGATGGGATAGGATGGAATGGGAGGAGTTATAGCAATACATAGGCCAATGAATTGATTTCTTCATTTACCAATCTGGCCATCTGGCAACTCCATGTATAGACTTGCCGATCTGATTCTCTGACTACCCCCCCCCGAGACGCTCGTCTTAGTAAAGATCGCTAGTGATTTGGACTTTATGGAGCCTTTCTCCATTCCATTCATTCGGAGTAAAATGGAATGGACCTCACAGTGGAGATAATCGGAAAAACCGCGGCAATGAATGCAAGGCTATTTCACGTGACTTCAACTTCGCTCCTAACCAGCCAGCCTTAGGGCAAGGAAGCCCCCACATTTTGGCGCTCACGAAGCGAGAAGAAAAAAAAAAGACGAGCCGCCAATTTCATTTTAGATCTTGATCCACGCTCAACCTTTTCGTCGTTCTCATCATCCGACAAAACAGCCAGTCGTCACCATGGCCCGAGGAATGTGAGTACCAGCAGTGAAACACAATGCCGAGAAGCCTCTGTCCTCGATCATATCATCATCTTCCTCTTTTTGATCTTCTATCTCGTGAAGAAGGAGGAAGCAAAAAAGAAGATATCGCGTTGGCGGAAACTGACTTTGCCGAGCAACACTTTGATGTTCTCGAGGATGGAGCTCCAAGCCATTGAAAGAATATGAAAACAACAACACCATCATGGAATTAATCCAGCTGACCATTCTCCTCTCACAGCAAGAAGCACCAGAAGCGCCTTAGCGCCCCCTCCCACTGGCTCTTGGACAAGCTGTCCGGCCTGTACGCCCCCAAGCCCTCTGCCGGTCCTCACAAGCTCCGCGACTGCATGCCCCTGATCGTCTTCATCCGAAACCGCCTCAAGTATGCTCTCAACTACCGCGAGACCAAGGCCATCATGATGCAGCGCCTCGTCAAGGTTGACGGCAAGATCCGCACCGACATCACCTACCCCGCCGGCTACATGGACGTCATCACCATTGAGAAGACTGGCGAGAACTTCCGTCTCATCTACGACACCAAGGGCCGCTTCACCGTCCACCGCATCCAGGCCGAGGAGGCCGAGTACAAGCTGGGCAAGGTCAAGCGCGTTCAGCTGGGCCGTGGTGGAATCCCATTCTTGGTCACGCACGATGCGAGAACGTGAGTTGTTCTGTCAGACATCATTCAGCCGTTGGATCAAGCTTTGGTCGATTCTTGGGGGGGGATCAAAGAGAAGGAGAAGGACACAGACGAAGAAAACATTAGAAACTTCATCTCTTCCCTTCCACCCGCCTCTCTTTTTTTGTCAATGCTTTTGCCTGCTGCTTTCTTGACACTTTTCTCCCCAATTTCTCTTCTCTCAATCTTGAGTGATTAGAAGGAGAAAAATTGAGAAAGGCACGAAAGCTCAAAAGAAGAAAAAGAGGAACGATGGAAGCTTTATTCTTCGGCTGTATGTTCCCCAATTTCCCTCTGCGAGTGCTAATGTTTCTCTTTCAAAACAGCATCCGTTACCCTGACCCCCTGATCAAGGTCAACGACACCGTCAAGATCGAGCTTGCCACCGGCAAGATCACCGACTTCATCAAGTTCGACACTGGCGCCGTCGCCATGGTCACTGGTGGTCGTAACATGGGCCGTGTTGGTGTCATCACCCACCGTGAGCGCCACGACGGAGGCTTCAACATTGTCCACATCAAGGACGCCATTGACAACACTTTCGCCACCCGTGAGAGCAACGTCTTCGTCATTGGCCAGGAGAAGCCCTGGATCTCCCTGCCCAAGGGCAAGGGTGTCAAGCTCACCATTGCTGAGGAGCGTGACCGCCGCCGCGCTTTCGCTCAGTAAGGAAAGAAAGAAGATGTATAGTAATCTTTTCTTTTTTGCTTTCTTGTAGTGGAGAAGATGATATCCAACAAAAGGAATCAATGGTTAAAAAAAATAACAATGGCATATATGTGGACTGGAGTCTCGGATTTGATGTTTGCTTTTTAGTAAAAAAAAAAAGGGAAAGGAATTTTTTTTCCTCAAGTGATTCCCCCCCTTTTTTCCATATTTCTTTCCTGCCTCTACTCTGGGAGATAGCCAGCCTGCGAGGTTTCACGAACGGAAGAGAAGACATTAAAAAGATTTTGAGCCCAAGCTGCTCTGTTCACATGTGCAAGATTTTTGTTCTCTTCTCTGGTGAAGACGATTATGTGATTGTGGTTTGTGTGAGGTTGATGCTGTGTCGCTTACGGACGAACATGCTGTTCTTGTTTTGTCAATCCTCCTCTCTATCTTTCTCCCTCTTCTCTCTCCATCTTTTTGGAAGACAAGAAGGAAAGTAACGAGACGAGAACTTCGAACGGAAAAAGGTAGTGAGAAAATAAAATGGTTGTTTTCTCGCTATCTTTTACCGCTCCAAGCTCTCCACTCGCTCTTTTCTCTCTTGCCTACATGACTATTTCTCTCTCTTTACAAATCCTTAGGTCATCTTGAGAGACACTCATGTGATTACAACTCTACTTCTTCTCCTACCTTTTCTCTATTTGTTCAAGACCATTTCCAATATCACAACAACTCGAATTATCTTGGAGCATTCAAGTCAGAATTAGCTCATCACGACTGGTCACCAAACACTCTATTTTGTATATCGATACAAAGAAGAAGATTCATCCTATCCAATCACGCGTCTTGCGACTCAACCAAGATATCTATCCTTCACTCCCAATCCCGCTACTCAATAAATGATTACTCAAGCCGCGTCCTCTGCCTCGGCCTCTGCCTCGGCCTCTGCCTCTGCCTCTTCCTCGTCATCTTCCTCATCCTCCCACTCAAAGAAATGCACCACCTCTGGAGCATGTGTAGCATTGCCATTCACGCTCCCTTCATACTCCAGATACCCCGACACGTCCGGATACCTGGCCTTCATGATATCTTCCACATCGCCAAACACCCAGACTGTCTGCATGCCCATGACCATGTGCTGCAGCGTATGGCAATGAATCATCCACACGCCGGCATCTTCCACCCTTAGCCGCCAGGCGCGCCAGCCCCATGGCTGATTCTCCTGCACTCTCTTTGTGTATCGAAAGAGCATCGATGTGTCTCTCCGTATGGGATGCGTGCCTTTGAGCTGCCGCTCGGCAATGTCCGGATGGAAAACTCCTGGTCCTCCTCCAATGTCGTATATATGGCTGCCGTGGGCGTGCCAGGGATGCGTGTCGAGGCCTCCAGCCCACCATTTGTCGACATTGCGCGAGCCAACTTGCTGGAAGACAATCTCAATGACTTCTCCTATCTTGGCAGGGTATGTCTTGGTCCGTGGATCGATGCCGTGGTTGGCGATGGATGCCTCATAGTTGGGTAGGTACTGGCTCGCATTCTTGTACAGCGCCACGAGGTACGGCTCAGTTGGACTGGTCTGCATAGGCAAGGGATGCGCGTCTACCCAGGAGACATCGTTGTCCGTCCACAAAACATAACTGTCCACCTGTTGCTGAGCGTAAACCATCACTCGGCGGGTGACCTGGTCGGCGGTAGGGAAGTTATTGGGGAAGAGGGGCTCCAGCCTGTAATCCAGAAAGCCGTCAATCGTGGGAGGGAGATTGATGGGTCTCTTCGAGGGCACGGCAGTTGTCGAGACATATGGATTGCCGCCAATGCCGCAAGTATTGCGATAGCGCAAGACGGCATAGCTGACCACATTGCTGGGCCGATCACGAGGCTCTACCTGTATGTAATAATCCAGCATGCCAGTGCGTCGAAGCTCGTCACACGTTTTTGCTTTGAACAGCGCGCTGAACCGCTGGCCGGAGCCAATCTGCAGCAGAGGCGTGGAGTAGGGCTTGGTGTAGCCGCCGTCCACCTCAATCACCTCAAGATCGGGATGGTCCTCAAAAGCGATGGCGACATACGACAATGCCATGGCGCCAATGAATCTGAATCTATACCACTTGCCGGGATCGATCTCGATGACGGTCAGCTTAGAAGACCCCGGGTCAACAACGCGGTAAACGGATATGGTATCCCCGTTGATGAGGAAGCCGCCGGCCTCTCCGGACCATCTGAACGGTGCCGCCCGGAGGCCCGCGACGACTTCGCTGTCTGTTTCGTAAAAGAGTTCCGATATGTGGATGACGCGGTCACCGTCGACGGGATACGGCAGGCGGCGATCGGGCGGATCGTCGACAATCAGGGGCCCGTTTGCGGTGCTGGTCTGGAAATCGACGTGCGAGTGGTAATAGTAGGTGCCGGCAGTGCCTTTGGGCATCCTCAGCTCGTAGTCGAAGTAGTATTGCGGCGGGATGGGCCACTGGCTGGCCATGGGCGTGCCGTCCGAGAAGGGCGCGGCAGCTTGAGCGAGGCCATGCCAGTGCTATTGTCGTTGTCAGAAGAATGTAGCTACTACAAGTGATGGGAGTGATTGCTGTTGGCTCACCATGGTGAGGTTGGCATCGTGCATGTCATTGTACACTCTGATCCAGACAACTTGCCCTTCCGGGAGGTGCAGCTCAGGGCCGGGCAGAGAGTCATTGACTAGCGTTGTGTATCTGATGATGCCACCAACGCAGAATTCCTTTCTCGAGATCCGGAGCACATGGGTGGGAGTGAAGGTGTCATCGTGTACTCGTGGCACACGGGGAGTCCATGCTGTTTTCGCAGAGGCGACGGTAGAGATGAAAGATAAGAGGCCATAAGATATCAATGTCAACCAGCGCATTTTTGGCGAGATGAGAAG